GAACTTATGGGATACCTTGAAAGCAGTGCTACAAGGGAAGTTCATTTCACTAAGTGCCCATATGAAGAAAACAGAGGATAGTCACATAAGAGAATTAACAGCGCAACTGAAAGCCTTAGAACAGAGAGAAGCAAACTCACTTTATAGGAGTAGACACCAGGAAATAACCAACTTGAGGGCTGAAATCAACAAATAGAAACCAGGAATACAATACAAAACATCAATGCAATGAAGAGTTGGTTTTTTGAGAAAATCAACAAGATAGACAAACCTTTATCCAAACTAACGAAAAAGCAAAGACAGAACATGCAAATTAACAAATTCATAACAATGGACACAGAGGAAATCCAGACAATTTTCAGGTCATACTTTGAAAATCTGTATTCCACAAAAATAGAAAATTCAAAGGAAATGGACAAGTTTCTGGATAACTATCACTTACCAAAATTAAATCAAGAACAGACAAACAACTTAAATAGACCTATAACCCACAATGAAATAGAGGCAGTCATCGAAAGCCTTCCAACCAAAAAAAGTCCAGGGCCAGATGGATTCAATGCAGAATTATACCAGACCTTCAAAGAAGAACTAATACCACTACTCCTCAAACTGTTCCACAAGATAGAAACAGAAGGTTCATTGCCAAACTCTTTTTATGAGGCCACAATAACCTTGGTACCCAAGCCTCACAAAGACACAACTAAAAAAGAAAACTACAGACCATATCCCTGATGAACATCAATGCAAAAATACTCAATATTGGCAAACCGAATTCAAGAATACATCAGAGAAATCATCCACCATGACCAAGTAGGATTCATCCCTGGAATGCAGGGATGGTTTAACATATGAAAATCTATCAACGTGATCCACCATATAAACAAACAGAAAATGAAAAACAATATGATAATCTCCCTACATGCTGAAAAAGCCTTCGACAAAATTCAACACCCTTTCATGATAAAGGTCTTGGAAAGGTCAGGGATAACAGGAACATACCTAAACATAATAAGAGCAATATACAGCAAACCAACTGCCAACATCAAACTGAATGGAGAGAAACTTAAGCCAATTCCTCTAAAATCAGGAACAAGACAAGGCTCCCCTCTCTCTCCATATCTCTTTAATATCGTACTAGAAGTTCTAGCTAATGCTATAAGACAACAAAAGGAGATCAAGGGGATCCAAATTGGAAAGGAAGAAGTCAAAATTTCTCTATTTGCAGATGATATGATAGTTTACATAAGGGATCCAATAAACTCTACCAGGGAACTCCTACAGCTGATAAACACCTTCAGCAAACTTGCAGGATACAAGATAAACTCAAAAAAATCAGTAGCCCTACTATTTTTAGATGACAAAGAGACAGAGAAAGAAATCAGAGAAACATCACCCTTTACAATATCCACAAGCAACATAAAGTATCTTGGTGTAACACCAAACAAATAAAAGACCTATATAATAAGAACTTTGAGACTCTAAAGAAAGAAATTAAAGAAGATACCAGAAAATGGAAAGATCTCCCATGCTCTTGGTTAGGTAGTATAAACATAGTAAAAATGGCAATCTTGCCAAAAGCAATCTACAGATTCAATGCAATCCCCATTAAAATCCCACCACAATTCTTCACTGACCTTGAAAGGATAATACTCAACTTTATATGTAAAAACAAAAGACCCAGGATAGCCAAAACAACCTTATACAATAAAAGAACTTCAGGAGTCATCACAATTCCTGACATTAAGCTCTACTACAGAGCTATAGTTCTGAAAACAGCCTGGTATTGACATAAAAATAGACAGGTAGACCAATGGAATCGAATTGAAAATCCTGATATTAACCCACACACTTATGAACACCTGATTTTCGACAAAACAGCTAAAATTATACAATGGGGCGAGGACAGCATCTTCAACAAATGGTGCTGGCACAATTGGATGAGGGTGTGTAGAAGACTGCAGATAGACCCATGTCTGTCACCATGCACAAAACTCAAGTCCAAATGGATCAAAAACCTCAACATCAATCCAGCCACATTGAACCTCTTAGAAGAGAAAGTAGGAGGTACCCTTGAACAAATTGGTATAGGAGTCCACATCCTGAACATAACTCCAAGGGTACACACACTGAGAGAAACAATTAATAAATGGGACCTCTTCAAACTTAGAAGCTTCTGTAAGGCAAAGGACACAGTGGACAAGACCAAACGGCAGCCCACAGACTGGGAAAAGATTTTCACCAATCCTATATCTGACAAAGGGCTGATCTCCAAAATATACAAAGAACTCAAGAAACTAATAACCCTATTAAAAAATGGGGTACAGAACTGAAGAAAGAATTCTCAATGGAGGAAATCAAAAAGGCTGAAAGACACTTAAGAAAATGCTCCACATCCTTAGCTATCAGGGAAATGCAAATCAAAACAACTTGGAGATACTATCTTACTCCTGCCAGAATGGCTAAAATTAGAAACACCAATGATGATTCATGTTGGAGAATATTTGAAAAAATGGGAACACTCCTCCATTGCTGGTGGGAGTGCAATCTCATACAGCCATTTTGGAGATCAGTATGGCAGTTCCTGAGGAAAATGGGAATTAGTTTACAACAGGACCCGGCAATCCCCCTCTTAAGCCTATACCCAAAGGATTCACATCCATGCAACAAAGTCATCTGTTCAACTATGTTCATATCAGCACTATTTGTAATAGCAAGAACCTGGAAGCAACCTAGATGCCCCTCAATTGAAGAATGATTAATGAAGATGTGGCACATTTACACAATGGAATACTACTCTGCAGAAAAAAATAATGGTATCTTGAAATTTGCAGTCAAGTGGATGGCACTTGAAGAAACCATCCTGAATGAGGTAACCAAGTCACAAAAATAGGAACACAGTATGTACTCACTCATATATGGATTTTAGACTTAGATCAAAGGATCACCAGCCTATAATTCACACCACCAGAGGAACTAGGATACAAGGTGTATTCTAAGAGATTCATATAAAGTCCCTCACAGAACTAGGAAGGGACAAGTCCCCCAGAGCTCAGGTAAAGTGGGGGAGGACAGCTAATGGAGAGAGAAGGTGGAGAAAATGAGGGGGGGGAAGGAAAGTATGTGCAACCAGGAAGATTTAGCCTGGTTAGGAATAGAAGACAGGAAAGAGAGAGAAAGAAAGAGAGAGAGAGAGCCAGGAGAGAGAATGTAAAAGAGGGAGCCAGGATTGGTTTCAAGATAAAATTAAACACAAAGAAACATCTAGAGAACTACAATACTGCTGCCAACTAACAATTTGAGTATCTGTGGAAAGGCTACCATAAATGCCCTTCCCAGAGAGTGAGATCAACACCTAAGTTCTCCATGGAGCCCTCAACTAATGCCTGTTGGAAACAGGAGCAAACACCCATACATAAACACTGAGTCGAACTAGAACCCAGATGCAGATGGAAAGGACAAGACCATGCGGTAGAAGCACATAGAGACAGCTTACCTGAACAAGGAGGAGCTAAGGGCCACTAGACTGATAGCTGGGGAACCAGCATGGGACTGACTCAGGCCCCCCTGAATATGGATCTCAGCCAGAAGGACTGAGCAGTCTAAGAGACCTCAGACAGTGGAGCCAGGATGTAGCCCTGGTGCACAAAAGGACTTTGCAAACACATCCCCCATGGAGAGATAACTGCCTTAATCTAGAGACAGGAGAGAAGCCCTAGTCCCTACTTCACATGACCTGTCAGATCTACATGACCCCAACTGGATGGCATTCCCCTACATATGGAATTGGGGTGGGGGGATGGGAGGGGAGGGTGGTTAAAGTGCATCTGAGAGGGCAGAGAGGGTAAAAGGGAGGGAAGGAGGGAAGGAGGGAGGGTGAGGGAACTGGGATTGACATGTAAAATAAATTAAATTAAAAAAAATGCTTTGACTCCAAAATTTAAGTTCAAGGACAATTTCCTGGGTAAATGATTTCTATTTTTGTTTCCACAGAAAATGAAAAGATGTGGATTCCTTCCAGACTAATGTGGTTTGATCAAGCCTGACCCCCTGAAACAGAGTACCAGGTCATCCTACATTCAAAACAGCTGGACAAATCAGCCTTACAGACTATAGCCAAGATTTCTGAATCTTCTTCAAATCCCCCATGACAGTGCCCCTTACCAGCAGGAAGTAGTTTGGAAAGAACGACCATAGCAGGCAACACAGGCTTCCATGGATTTTTAAAAGATTTTATTATTTTCCTCATTTCACTCTTACTTTTTCTCCCTCCAAGCATTGCCACATATCCCATGTTGTTCTCTTCCAAATTTTGTTATCCATTTTCATTCTTTACACACACACACACACACACACACACACACACACACACACACACACGCTTTTTATTTTTTTGTTTTTGTTTTTGTATTTTGTTTTTTTATGTATATAACTAAGTCCATTTAAATGAAAACAAACATTTACAGACAATATTTGGGAATTTGGGCGTTGTCACATTAGTATATATAAAGGTTTAGGGGCAGGGTTTCTTTACTGAGCAGAAACGTGTCTCAAGGGAAGGGACATGAATGACTTTGTCAACAGTTTCAAGATTTACAAACATAATTACAAGGACTATGAAATCACCTATCTGTCCCGATCAGCCCTATGAGTAAAAGTACATCAGAAAATCAAAATTACATCAGTACTCCTCAAGTGCCTGTGTCAAAGAGTGTGGTTTAGTGAGAAATGACATGATGGAATGGATAGGTAGGGTGTCTTTATTCCCCTGTTCTATGCACACTCTTGAAGAAGGTGCCCTTCTTCAGGGTCAGAGGCACAGTCATGAGGACACCTTCAGAGGTGGCAAGGTTTGGGAAGCCCACACAGAAACAAACACCTAGAGGCTGGTCATATGATCACTAGGCTGTATAGAGGTGGGAGAGGTTATCTAGGTGATTCATAATGTAAGACAACCTGAGGGCTGATCTCCTGCTGATGTCATAGTACCCCTTATACTCCCAATAGCATCTGAGGGTGTGGGTCAAAACGCAGGCTGGTGGCCACTCACAAGATTGCCATGGTGTAGCTGTGAAGTCTCCTGCTGGCTTGTGGCACGGGCACTTGGTACATGTTTGGCACACATGGCAAGTCCCAAGGAGGACAGTGAGGGTGTGGTTCTCCAGGAACTCCGGGATCTGGTCCTCATGGAAAAGAACCTTCAGGGAGGAGAGGCCCCAGTACAGGCACCGGAGCAGAGGCCAGCTACTCCCTCTGGGGACAACCAATCGGTGAAGCCACTGGTTGGTGGTTCTGTGGAGACCTGGGTACCTCTTGCAGAGTCGCTGCAACATAGCCACACCTGGGAGGAATCGATCGAGCCTGTTATAGGGGAGTCGGAAGGCACAGACTTGGTGCAGGTCAGGAATGAGAGTAAGAATGAAAATGCAGATGAGTACAAGCAGAAGGGTGGACCAGATCTAGGGCCTGAGCTGGGGCAGGCCCTGGAGCAGGCTTGTCATTCCGAAGACCAACATGGGACACCAAGACTGCCACAGTCAGGTCAAGGGCTTGCACGATGCGGATCTAAGATGGACGAGCTGGAACATCTTCAGCTCGAGCTCAGCTATGTGAAAGCGCGCTATAATGGAGCCTTTGCCAAGATAAAAGCAAAGGTAGCCAAAATGCGCAGATTATACTTTGAGCGAAGAAAGACCATAATCCAGGCCATCCCCGGCTTCTGGCCCAAGGCTGTATCCTTAAGTGTTCACAGTGGGCATTTTATCAAAGAGGGAGAGTTGAAAGGGAGAAACTAGCTGATGAATGAGGACAGTGGGTCGGCAGTGGAAAGAGTCCAAAGACTAGACAAAGGACTCCAATCTCATAGCACTAAGTCCAGAAACTCATCGGGGATGGGTGCTAAGAAGAGTGTGTGATTTGGATAGAAGACTCTGGGGAGGCTCACCAATCAGTACTGGGATTACTGTCATTACAGAAGGGGCATTGTACAGAAAGTCTATGATCTGCCCTTCTATTGTGAGGGAAACAGTGATCAACTTTAGCATCTGCCCATGTTGACACTGCCTCATTAAAGATCTCAGCTCCCTGATAACTCAGGGATTACAGGATGATCATGGGGATGTGTATTTATTGTAGAATTTATCTGGGGCTTTAGATACATTATGATGTCATGAGTATCTGGGTCAACTATCCCCTTGACCCAGAAGCAGCCTGCATGTGAGCAGTATGCCAGGCCAGGGATGCACTGGCATATAAACACACCCTTCTCCAAAGCCAAAACTGCAGATACAGCATCCCACATATCCTTAGTGATATCCCACTGATCCTTAGTGACTTCTGCCTACCATTGAATCAACAGCTCCTTCTATTGTCCAGTCAGCTCATTTCATTTCTCAACTGGGCATACCAGTTCCCTGCCTCCAACTGGACTGCTAATATTGGCTTTTTCTAAACATCCCTCTGGCCTGGGTAGATTTCCAAGTCTCAAAGAGTGTGATTGTCACCTCCTACAGATTCTCAGCTTTTTATAAAACAGGAGAATCAAAATAGATGTCATCTCAGGATGGGAGGGGACACAGCACAATGAAGGATAGGTCTCATGTCCACATGTCTGTGGGGGCTCTTGTTCCAAGGTTTTCTCTCCATACACAGTGGCCTACTTGCTTCTAGCTATCCTTTACATAGAATAGGAGGGTTCCTTGACCCAAAGGCAGATGATGAACCATCCCCAGATGTCGTCCATCATCACCAACCAAGATCAAGACTTACTTCGCTACATGTTGACCTTGGAGGTAAGTTGGAATTGTGTCTGGGAAGATAGAAATGGGGTTTCTGGAAAAAAACAGATGTGGAGAGGCATTTTCATTATACTATGTGGGCTCTCCTAGCAGACAGAGATTTCCCTCTTATTTCCTCTACATCTTGGCAGGTGGTGGAGTCCCACCTCGGGCTGAGGATGTGCAGGATGATGTTTTTCTTTAGGGACAACCCATACTTCCAGAATGATATTGTCACTAAAGACTATGATTTCAGCATCACTGGTATGTATGGCCATAGATTTTAGGGTGTCGCCTGGGGAGCAAATGTGGTGAACTCTGTACTATACCATATTTCTTTCCTGCAGGATACAAAGAGTCAGATTCCAGTGTGATAGAGTGGCTTGGACAGACTGAGTATGGTTATGCCAACTTCAAGCTGGACACCACCAGGCTTACTTTCTTCAGCTGGTTGTGTACACGCAAGCTTCCTGGGTCCAGCAGGATTGCCGAGGTTTTGTTTCCCTTACCAACTGTTACCTAGACTGTGGGTGGGTTTCCTTAACTCCGGGGGAGTTCTTATTTTCTATCCTCTTTTTAATCCCAGATCATCATGGATGACCTGTGGCCAAATCCGCTTTACTATTACCCTAAGGAAGACGAGCCATGAAGGGAGAATGAGGACCTAGCCAGGTGAGCAGACAGGTTTGCCCTCAAAGTGTCTTTATTATCATATGTCCTGAGAGATCATTGGAGAATGACACAATGTGTGGCCTCAAAGCTTTACTGAGCCAGGAACAAGATCCCTCCAAGTGAGAGGGAAGGTTGTGGATATGGATGGGTATGCTTTACACACCTCTCAGGTAGTAATCTCACCCACATTTGGAGATTGGGTTGGAATAAGCACTTGAGGTTTGCCATTCTTTCCCTTTAAGCACCCTGGATTAGAGTGGCTCACCCATGTCCTTCCCCTTCAACTACACACTTCTCCACCTCAGATCAACATGGCTCTTCTGTGTATGCTCCTCTGCCCAGGTCTCTCAAGTGCTGTTTAATAGTCTGCTAGTCTTGACCCAACTAAAGCTTGTATAAAATGCACTGGCTGTGCAAGTGAACATCTTAGACAGACCTTTATCAAGCAGTCAGGGAAAGAAAACCTCCTTTTATCAGGATCTGTGATCAACATTTCCATGAGTCCCTGTGTATGTATGTGCTCATATGGGGATGCATGCCTTTTATGTTACCTACTTGTGCATATCTGTGTATGCACATGTCTGAACCCAGATGAGGGATGGTTTTGAGAGTAGCTTGTGTTAGGGCAACATTCATTAAAGACTGGAAAGCATCTAGGAAGAAAAGAATATGATTGTTCTCTGTGATTCTCATGTTTCTCCACAGCATGAACTAAGAACAAAGCATTTCTGTCTGTAGACCAATATGAAGATGCACCACTTGTAAAATGGAACTGAATGGAATAAATGCTGGCAAAGGTCTCCTAGCTTCCTGTTGACTCCTCATTGAGTGATCACAGTAAATAACACCCATCCCTTGTAGCTAATTCATATTCACCCACAGTGTACTTGTCTGGATTAAGGAGCGGGATATAAGGTTGGAATAGGAGATGTAAACATTGCATTGCCACGGTCTTCCCAGCCACTGGGGTGCTATTAAGCATATCTAATGGGCAAAAGAGTCTGAAGGGCAGAGTGGATACTGACAGACAATTGTAGTCCATTCCCCTATGGCTATTTACTCCAGTGAGTGTTTGGACTTCCTGTAGACACAGATTTAATGCATCCTGTTGAGAAGCAAGTTGTGGGGAAGGTAGGTACATTTACAATGTTTGCCCCTTCATATTGAGTAAAAGATCTCCTATGCTCCAAGATTGGCAATTTATGGCTTGCACGCCAAACAATACAGGATGGTGTTGCTCTACCCATAGTTGTATGTAGTGAGCAGTACACCTCCACTTTTTCCTGATGACATTGTCATATAATGTCTGCACCTGGCAAGATGGCTGGTCCCCTACAGTCTCTTGCACCCAGGTCCCTTCCCTGTGCTGATTTCCCTTGCACCAGATGTGTGGAGAGGCCATTGTCTAGAACAGACTCACCAGGATCCAAAGCCTGGCATTGCTCTGGGACAGTATTGAGGGTGATATTGCTGAACAGTACTTTTCTAGAAGTGGTAATTGGGTTTTCTCCAATGAAATTTCAGTGGATACATGTCACACCACGTTTTGTGTGAGATGTTACTTCAGCCAACTGAACCCATATAGGTGATGTCTCCAACATTTACAGGAACCTCCAGCCATCCTCATCTAAAATTTGACATCCAAAATGGCTGTATAAATTTGCACTTCCACCAGTAGTAGAGGACTGTTCCCTTTTCTCCACATCCTCCCCAGCATAAGTTGTCATTGGTGTTTTTAATTTTAGCCATCCGGCAGGAGTAAGATGGTATCTCAGAGTTGTTTTGATTTTCATTTCCCTAATAGCTAAGGATGTGGAACATTTTCTTAAGTGTCTTTCAGCCTTTTTGATTTCCTCTATTGAAAATTCTTTCTTCAGTTCTGTACCCCATTTTTTAATAGGGTTATTTGGTGTTTTGTTGCTTAGTTTCTTGAGTTCTTTGTATATTTTGGAGATCAGCCCTTTGTCGGATATAGGATTGGTGAAAATCTTTTCCCAGTCTGTGGGCTGCCGTTTGGTCTTGTACACTGTGTCCTTTGCCTTACAGAAGCTTCTAAGTTTGAAGAGGTCCCATTTATTAATTGTTTCTCTCAGTGTGTGTGCCCCTGGAGTTATGTTCAGGATGTGGTTTCCTATACTAATTTGTTCAAGGGTACCTCCTACTTTCTCCTCTAAGAGGTTCAGTGTGGCTGGATTTATGTTGATGTCTTTGATCCATTTGGACTTGAGTTTTGTGCATGGCTATAGATGTGGATCTATCTGCAGTCTTCTACATACCAACATCTAGTTAAGCCAGCACCATTTGTTGAAGATGCTTTCCTACTCCCATTGTATAATTTTAGCTGTTTTGTTAAAAATCAGATGTTCATAGTTGTGTGGGTTAATATCAGGATTTTCAATTAGATTCCATTGGTCTATCTGTCTGTTTTTTTTTTCAATATCAAGCTGTTTTTAGGACTATAGTTCTATTGTATAAATTGAAGTTGGGGATGGTGATGCCTCCAAAAGTTCCTTAATAGTACACGGTTATTTTGGCTATCCTGAGTCTTTTGTTTTTCCATATAATGTTGATTATTATCCTTTCAAGGTAATAATTCTGGGATTATGATCGGTATTACATTGAATCTGTAGATTGCTTTTTGTAAAAGTGCCATTTTTACTATGTTTATCCTACCTATCCAAGAGCATGGGAGATCTTTACATTTTCTGGTATCTTCTTTAATTTCTTTCTTTAAAGTCACAAATTTCTTGCTATGTAGATCTTTCACTTGTTTACTAAGTGTTACCTCCTGATACTTTTTGTTGCTTGTGGCTCTTAAAGGGTAATGTCTAATTTCTTTCTCAGCACCTTTGTCATATGTTGGGCTACTAATTCTTTTTTTATTATTATTATTATTTTAGGTTATCTTATATCCTGCTAGTTTGCTGTAAGAGTTTGCTGTCTGTAGGAGTTCCCTGGTAGAGTTTATTGGTTCGCTTATGTAAACTATCATATCATCTGCAAATAGAGAAAGTTTGATTTCTTCCTTTCCAATTTGGATCCCCTTGATCTCCTTTTGTTGTCTTATAGCATTAGCTAGAACTTCAAGTACGATATTGAAGAGATCTGGAGTGAAAGGGTATTCTTGTTTTGTTCCTGATTTTAGAGGAATTGCATTAAGCTTCTCTCCAGTCAATTTTATGTTAGTTGTTGGTTTACTGTATATTGCTTTTATTATGTGTATGTTTGTTCCTGTTATCCCTGACCTCTCCAAGACCTTTATCATGAAAGGGTGTTGAATTTTGTCAAAGGTATTTTCAGCTTCTAGGGAGATGTTCATGTGAGTTTTATTTTTCAGTTTGGCTATATGATGGATCACGCTGATAGATTTTCGTATGTTTAATCATCCTTGCAAACCAGGCATGAAGCCTACTTGGTCATAGTGGATGATTTCTCTGATGTATTCTTGGATTTGATTTGTCAGTATTTTATTGAGTATTTTTGTATCTATGTTCATGAGGGATAGTATTCTGTAGTTCTCTTTCTTAGTTGTGTCTTTGTGGCTAGGGTACCAAGGTGATTGTGGCCTCATAAAAAGAGTTTGGCAATGAACCTTCTGTTTCTATTGTGTGGAACAATTTGAGGAGTATTGGTATTAGCTCTCCTTTGAATTTCTGGTAGAATTCTGCATTGAATCCATCTGGCCCTGGACTTTTTTTGGTTGGAAGGCTTTCGATGACTGCTTCTATTTCATTAGGGGTTTTGTTTATTTAAGTTGTTTATCTTTTCTTGATTTAATTTTGATAAATGATAGTTATCCAAAAATTTGCCCATTTCTTTTGAATTTTCAAATTTTGTAGGGTATATGTTTCAAAGTATGAACTGAAAATTGTCTGGATTTTCTCAGTGTCCATTGTTATATCCCCCCCTTTTTTCTGATTTCATTAATTTGCATGCTCTCTCTCTGCTTTTTCATTAGTGTGGATAAAGGATTGTCTATCTTGTTGATTTTGTTGAAAATCCCACTCTTTGTTGCATTGATTTTTTTGTATTGTTTTCCTGGTTTCTATTTTATTGATTTCAGCCCTCAAATTGATTATTTCCTGGCATCTACTCCTCTGGTGTGAGTTTGCTTCTTTTTTCTTTTAAGACTTTCAGTTGTGCTGTTAATTCTCTAATTGTTTATCATCCATTTTCTTCATTTGGGCTCTTAGTGCAATGAACTTCCCTCACAGCTTTAAAGGTGTTGCATAAATTCAGGTATGTTGTGTCCTCATTCTCATTGAATTTTAGGATGTCCTTAATTTCTTTTTTTTTCTTTGACCCAGGAATGATGCAATTGTACATTGTTCAGTTTCCATGAATTTGTTGGGTTTCTATGATTTGTGTTCCCGTTCAATTCCAAATTTAAAGCATGGTGATCTGGTAAGATACAGGGGACTGTTCCTTTTTTTTTTTTTTTTTTTCTATCTGTTGAGGTTTGTTATGTTGCTTAGTATGTGGTCGATTTTAGAGAAGATTCCAAGTGGAGCAGAATAGAATGTATATTCTTTTGTTTTTGGATGGAATGTTTTATAGATATCTGTTAAACCCAGTTTAGACATAATTTCTGTTACTTCATTTGTTTGTTACTTTTCTTTCTGGTGGTCCTTTCTAGTGGTGAGAGTAGGGTGCTAAAGTCTCCCGTTATGAGTGTGTGAGGTTATATGTGAGCTTTGAGTTTTAGTAGCATTTCTTTTTACAAATGAGGGTGCCTTTGTATTTGGGGCTTAGATGTTCAGAATTAAGAATTTGTACTGATTGTCATTTTTACTATTTTTATTCTACCTATCCAAGAGCATGGGAGGTCTTTCCATTTCTGGTGTCTTCTTTTATTGCATTCTTTAAAGACACAAATTCTTGCTGTATAGGTCATTCATTTGTTTGGTAAGCTTTACCCTAAAACACTTTATGTTGTTTGTGGCTATTATAAAGGGTGCTGTTTTTCTGATTTCTTTTTCTCAGCCCCTATATAGTAAGGCTACTGATTTTT